AAATTTTGAAAAATTGAACCGCAAAAGAGTGGTTTTTAAGGATCATCGCCTGCACCGGTCATTGCTTTTTGTTCTAGACTGACCTTCAGCCCTCCTAGACCTTTCTCTAAATCAATAGTTATTTTAATTTTCTAAATAGTATATAATGGCTTTTGAGCTAAAAATCAACGGTTCATTTATTACATGTTAAAAAGAAATTGACAGTATTGCTGTAAGGACACATACATTAGAGTTTCGTCTTATACTTATTTAAACTCATGAAGACGCCGCTCTTGCTCAGTTAATTTATAAGAAGACAGTTAACCTATTTTTCATTATTTGTTGCTATTATGGTACTATACAATAGCGTCGTCAAACTCCTATATTTATAAAAACGACTAACCTAATATTTTAACCAAAAAATATTACGCAGGGCCTGGAGATGATTTTGGCCAATATCTTGATTTAACATAGGCTAGAGATGTTTTTAATTTGGGCCCAATTATTTACTTCTTCAAAGGTTGCAAAGAATTTATCCCTGTAGATTACTAAGATTATACATCTAGGTAAATGGGCATTCAGTTGTAAAATAAAATTAAAAATGTATAAATTAAATTAAGGCTATTTCGTTTAAGTATAAACGCCGTCCTAATTATATTATTTATTATGCTTATTTGTTTATTTCTAAATTAGAATCCTCTTGTAACTAATTTAACTAATATTATAATTCTCGTAGTTTATATATTTTGTTATTTTGCATTTTTGTATAGATGCAAAACAAAATTTGATCGCTTCCAACATTTTAAAAAGAATTATAATTGCTCCTATTTTTCTAAAAATAGGTATGCCCTTTAGCAACTCGGTTTGGGCTCTAAATCATACGTACCTAAAATATATACCTTTAATTATATTGAAATTAAGAATGATCCTAATCTCATATACGGATATCGATGTGGTTATCTATACAAGATTTCAATTCAATCAAACGATTTATTTTTTAAATCCATTTCTAAAAAAAAGATATGTAATCAAATTTAATTTTCTTCAAATCGATTCCATTTTTTGTTATTTAATTTTAATGTTTTTTAAATAGAATTGATATACTATATTTATGAAAAAATTTCTGATATTCCTATGCAAATAATAATTATTCTGGTATTTATATTGGAATATAACACCTTTATTGTTAAGTGCGTTGAATCGGAACATAAAAATTTGCCTAATCATTGGGCATCAAAATTGGAGGCATGGTGTTACAATCACAGTTTTTCTAAAATCTCTAATATTGATTGCAAAAAGCATCAACTTCGAATGAAAGCCCGAATTATGGGTCTAAAAGGCTTAAATGATAGCGAAGATGAGGCTGACATATCTAATCAGGTGACTACCAATAAACCAAAAAAACATATACCAGACTGTTTTGATCCACCTTATCTACCTGTATTCATGTATTTGAGAATATTCTATATGAGTTGCTTATCCATGTATTCCTATGTTACTACTATTGATATATGCTTAACGTTTATGGTTTATTTGATAATTTTATTATTTCATAAATTCTCCAGCACTGAATAAAATTAATCATAAAATTGATTCATCAATAAGTTAAACGTAGATGGAATAATACAATATCGATAAATCAATGATTTTAAATCAAAATATAAATGCAATTAAAAATAATTCATTTGAATTCGATTTTACAGATTATTTTAAACAATCACCTGATTGTAACCTCCATCTAAATATATAGTTTTGATTAATATTTGAAGTGAAGGCTCACCAAAATATTCATTCATTCTTTACTTTTTTTTAAAAATAAGTATAAATTTATCAAAAATTCAATTTTTTCGATTTATATAAAAATATTGATAAATTTATATATATATTTTTTTAAATATTCAATGATAAATAAATTATTATTTTATTTCGACCATTCTCACATGCTATTTTAGAAATAATCAAACTCAGATGGTAAGACTCCCATTTATCGGGATTTTGGGTAAATGTCGACTCATTCCGGATCGTGCGAGTAAATTTTCGGGCAAAGCTGGACATATTGTACAAAATATTTTTACGGGTCTGGCGATACAATTTTTATAAAACATTTTTTATGAGATGAGTATTAAATCATGGGCCGAGCCGAAAAACCCGATAATTCCACGTGTCAGGCCGAAAACCCCGATATTTTTACCGGCCCGTTAGGACCGCTTACACCAATTTATTTAAATTCCTTTCGGACTATCTTTTAATTAAGTCTCTTTGGCCAATTTAATTCAGCCAAAATTTTTCAAAAATAAGTTATATATTTATACATTATTGTATTTAGTCATTGGATCGGTGGTTACAAGTCGGTTATCGGTCAAATCACAATATTTTAAAAACATTTTATGGGATTGCTAAACACGTAATATACACGTATAAAACAAAGAATATTTTTCCATGGGCAACGCCAGCAATGCCTGTTTAGTCATTGGGTCTGTTACGAGTCGGTTCGATCAAATTACAATATTTTTAACACATATTTTGGGATAATGTTCCACACGTAATTATAAAGAAATAAAAAAAATGAATATTCTTCATTTGATAATTCTAGTAATTTTGGTCTCCAATATTTAGTAACCGGTTAGTTTTGAGCTCGGCTATCGGTCAAAACATATTTTAAAAGATTTTTGGGAATAATGCTTAACGCGTAAATATACGCATAAACAAAAATGAAGATTTTTTCAAGAATAAAGTCAGCAATGCAATATTCAGTAATTGGTTCTATTACGAGTCGGTTATCGATCAAATCATAATATTTTTAAAATATTTTCCAGGATGATCTTATACACATAATTATTGCGACATATAACGAAAATGGATTTTTCAATGGATATCACCAGCAATGCATTAGTCATTGACTATTTTTATTCTGCAATCGGTCAAATCATAAAATTTTGACAATATTTTTTAGGTTAATGTTTTACACTTAAAGATAAGATTTGGAAACAAAAATGAAGAGATTTCAATCAATCGCGTTAGCAATATGTCTTTACAAATTTGAGGTTACATAAATTAAATGTCAAAATAACTTATCATTTTTTCTAATTTTTAGGTTTGCATTCTATACCCCTATATATAGCGCTAACCAATAATATTGGCTTACCTGGATATTTTAATATTTATGTATTTAACTCCCTCTTTTGGAGATATATTTATTAAATTTTAAAATTAGAAAATAAAATTTGAGTCATAATAAGCTAGTAAATATGTTCTTTCCCAATAATATTAAATAAAACTAGATTTACAAATTAATATATATTTAATCTCCATTTTTTATTTTATAAAAATATTATTTAAATATATTTTTAAAAATGTTAACGAAAATTTAAAAAAAGGCATCCTTTTTTGTAAATTACTAGCCTAATACTAACATACTGTAAATTACTAGCCTAATACAGGGTAAGTTAATATAATAAAAGCAAAAAATTAAAAAATTGTAATCATTTTTTTTATTTTTGCATAATACTCAAAATAAATGACGATCAAATATATAACAAAATAGATTTAAAAAATACATTAAAATATTAAAAAATTGAATATTCTAATTTTTGTTTTTTCTTTACCTATTCCGATTTTCTATATTCTTTTAAAATATATTTCAATATATATTATATTTTATAAATTTACCTTAATTCAATGGTTGTTCTAGATAACCAATCTCCAAATATTGATGCATCTTATTATAATAACTTGAAGAATCATAAGGAATAGTAAATTCATTAAGAATTGATGTTACATTATGAACGATTTCGTTTCTTGTATTTGGTCGGGGATTGATTGACCTATATATGTTTTTGTTGATTGATTTAAATTTGAATATTATTTATTTTATATATTAACTATTTAAGTTGATTATTTGATTTAAATTTGAATATTATTTATTTTATATATTAACTATTTAAGTTGATTATTTAATATGTTCAATTAACTTTTTATATTTATATATATATAATGTTTTTTAGATAAAATATATATAGTAATAAATTTGATTTAAATTTAAATAGTAATAGTTGATCTAAGTCTTTTCTTTTATTTCTTTTATGGTGCCCCGGTTACGGTGGTACGTTTTTTCGTTTTTCTTTCTTTTTAAAAAAAAATATAAAACAAAGTAAAATAATAAAAGTTTAAAATATCTTTACCTTGAATTCTTTTGTAAAAAATAAAAAGTAAACGTATTACTTATCAAATTCGTCGTTCGATATTGGAGATGATAAAAGGACAAATAAAATTTTTTGACTTTTCTTTTCGATAGTCAAAATTTTATCCAAATTTACAAAATTATAAAAAGGTAAAAAAAATAAAAAATAAAATAGAGTATATATATATATAAATAAAGGAGTTATATGATAAAAAATATTTTTTCGTCTAAATCTTTCAATTTTTACGTCGTGATGTTTTGTTTTAAAACTTATGATATACCTCAATACGTTATTATTGATAATATGTTGAAAGAAATGGGTATATGTAAAGAATTTTCTTATGTACGTGATAATAGGACGAACGAAATTGTTTTTTATTTTAAATCTTTACGAAAAATGATTGATGCATATATGTCTCTAAATGGAAAACCGTATATTCTTGATGACAATAATTTTATTTTTATATTTTGTAAAATTATTGAATATTAAAATTTAAATATCTTTATGCTCTACATATTTGACATTATATTTATAGGGTAAAGAAAATTTTTCCCTATATTTCATTTTATAGAATATCAATAAATTTTTTTCTAAAAACTTAGTCACGAATTAGTATTAAATTTTTCACAGACAAATTATATTGAAACTTAGTGGATTAAATCCTCTTTACGAATTCGAATTAGAATTTTTATAGATAAACTATTAAAACTTAGTGGACCATATTCTCTTGATTAAAATTAAAATTTTTAGACAACTTAAATTTGATTTTAATGAACTACAATGTTTTGCTTTTACGATTTTAAATATTGAAAGTTTACTTTACTCAAATAAAATTATATCATGGACGAAAAATTAACTCTTACACACACTCAATATGTTCCTAAATTTCCCAAGTTATCAGGAAAATTATCTGAGACTTACCTTAACTTAATAGAAACATACTTTGAAGGACATATTGAGTCAGACTCATCTAAAGTTAGGACACTACTATGCAGCTTACCAATTGAGATTGTAGACCAAGTTACGTCGATATGTTCTAAAGCACAGTTAAAAGATTTTAATATTGTTTTTGGTAAATTGAAACTGTTAATTCCAAGTGAGGACATTAATGTAAATATAAAGAACTTTAATTTAGCGGTACAAGGTGCCGAGGAGTCCTTCCATACTTTTTATTTTAGAATTTCAAAACTTCATAAAAAATGCGATTTTGATAACGATACAAGAATGATTGAGAAATTAATAACTTGTTCTTTAAATGATAATATCAGAAGGAAGTTAAATAAACATAAGCACGAAGGTTTAGATAAGATGATGAAATTAGGAGTGGAGTTAGATGGCAGCAATATTAAACCAGACGTTAGCGATACAAATTATGTATATAATGATAAAAAATTGGATAAAAATAAAAAATTTTACAATTTAAACATGGATAAAATACCATGCAAAAGTACTTTTAGTAATAATGAGAATAATTCTAATGATTATGAACGTAATAATTTTAAAGAAAATAATTTTAATTATAATGGACGTAACACTCATAAGGAAAATTTTGATTTTAAGAAGAGGAATTATAATGATTTTAGGCCTAATTATAGTGCTAGCCGAAACTATCAAAACAATATTTTTCGAGACAGTGAGGGTAACTCTAGAAATTTTCGTAATAACCAATCTTCGAATAACAATTCAAACTATTACGGAAGAAACTCCATGTGGCACAACAATAATTATAATAGAAACAATGCCTGGCAATACAATAACAATTCAAACAATTATGGTAGAGGTACTTGGCAAAACAATAATTATAATGGGAGAAACAATTCCTGGTCTTACAACAATCAAAGAAATCAGAGTCAATATAATAATCGATATGGTTATCAATATCAATCCTATAATAACAACAATAATGGAGAAAATAATGAGTGGAAAAATTAGAATCAAAATATTAATCAAAGAAAACCATTACAATATCATGATCAGAGCCAAAGTAATAGCAACAATTGCAATATGAATATTGAAGAGATTGTGGAAAATAAAAATGATGTTACACAAAATAATAATGATAGTGATTTTAATATCAACAATTTAACAGAGCATAAACTCAAGCATTCATGGCTTCCTTAAAAATAAACGATGTTACCGTTACAATGCAAGTCGATACTGGATCTAAATTCACAATTATACCTCATGATATGGCTAAACAAATAGGTATTAAAGATCTTAAAAAGTCCACTCTACAACTCACAGCTTATGATGGAAACTTAATTAAAATTATAGGCGTCACTCAAGTTAAAGTAACCTACGAAGGTATCACCAAACACTTGCAAGCCGTGATCGTTAAATCTAATAAAAATGCGTTATTGGGACGTATGTGGATTAATGCCTTTAGTAATATTTTGATATAGCAAACATTGATACCAACTATGAAGATGAAATAAAGAAATTAATAAAAGATTGCGAATCTAAACTGACTAAAAAACCGATCAATAAAGGGAATGTCAAGATATATCTACGTAACGATGCCAAACCGAAAATCATACCACCTAGACGGTTACCTTATTCAAAGATAGACGCTGTTACTAGAGAACTTATGAGATGGATAGGAGATGGAGTCATTGAGCCTGTAACAGATGTCCGATGGGCAAGTCCGATAACCGCTGTCTACAAGGATAATGGGAGCGTTAGGGTTTGCGCCGACTTCAAAGACACTGTCAACCCAGCCCTTGAGGACTTCAGATACCCACTTCCAAGAATAAATGATCTTATCGCTAAGCTCAAGGAAGGGAAGAAGTTCACCAAGATAGATTTCAAGGATGCGTTCCTACAAATTCCCATTGATGAAACCTGCAGAGACATATTAACTATATCTACACACAGGGGGTACTACCGGTTTACCAGACTTCCTTTTGGGTTAAAGACTTCATCTGCGATTTTTCAACAAATTATGGATCAAATTTTCAGTGACATGAAAGATGTCATATTTTATATTGATGATCTACTAATTACGGGAAGTAGTGACGAAGTTCATTTCAACAACATAAAGAAGGTTTTTGAAAGAATACTATCTCATGGTTTAGTGCCTAATTTTGCAAAAAGCTTATTTTTCAAAAAAAGTCTAAGGTTCTTAGGACATGACATCGACGCCAAGGGGATCCACGCCAACCATGACAAGATCGAGGCGATCGTTAAAATGCCGGAACCAAAATCAGCCGCGGAATTGCCAACGTTTCTAGGTATGGCCGGGTACTACAGAAAATTTTTGAACAACTTCGCTGAAATAGCTGATTCTTTATACAAGATTGTTAACAAAGAAAAATGGGAGTGGAATTTAGAACACTCCAAAAGTTTTGATGATCTAAAGACATTGATTAGTCTTCCTCCAGCTTTGACGTACTTTAATCCTGAACTACCTATCGGAATTGCGACTGATGCATCTAAAAGAGGTTTAGGAGCTGTTTTGTTTCACACTGAAAAAGATGGCAAAGAAAAACCGATAGCTTTTGCATCAAGAACTTTAGCAAAATCTGAAACAAACTATACCAATATTGAGCGTGAAGCTTTGGCCATTATGTTTGCTATCAAGAGATTTCAAGAATACTTGATAGGGACTAAGTTCACTATTATAACGGATCACAAGCCGCTAATCCATATTTTCACCAAAGGGCTCAAAGATAATAGCACCATGTCATTAAGGTTACAGAAGTGGAGTATAATTTTGGGGGGTTACGACTTTAACATCAGATATAAAGCTGGTAAATACAATGTTGTTCCCGATTGCCTCTCAAGACTACCACAAGTAATTAATGATGACGTTATTGATGATATCGCGATTGTAAATGACTTTGGCGATATACCTCTTAGTTTTGACCGAATACGTGATGAAACATCCAAAGATTTTGAATTATCTCAAGTTATGAATGATATAAGAAATAATGTGTCTATCCAAAATAAAATTTATGAAAATATTGAACAAGAACTAAGTATCATTAAAGATTGTCTGTACAAAAGCGACAAAATAATAATTCCGTCAAGTCTGAGAAAGAACATACTGAAGGCGTTACACGAAGGTCATTTGGGAGCAGGTAAAATTAAATCCTTAGCCAAAGATCGTATGTGGTGGTCTGGTATGGTCAACGACATTGATTTGGAAGTCAAAAGTTGCGATGATTGTAATATTTATCATGACAATCCAAAGAAAATACAAAATCCATGGGTAGCAGCAACTAAACCATTTGAAAGGATACACATAGATTATGCGGGTCCGTTTTTTACAAAGAATTGGTTGATAATCGTTGATGCTTACAGTAAATTTCCGGTTATAGTTCCGGTAAAGAGTATTACGACTGAATTCACGTTAAAGGAAATTTATAAAACTATTTCACTATTTGGTATACCTGAAACCATTGTTACAGATAATGGTACCAATTTCACGAGCAAAGATTTTGAAAAATTTTGTAGCAATTATGGTATAAAACATGTACTAACATCGGCCTATCATCAGCAATCTAATGGACAAGCTGAACGTATGGTGAGAACATTTAAAGCTCATATGAAAAGAAACATAAAGATTGGCTTAGAAACTGCGCTGGACAGATTTTTGTTCAACTATAGAAACACGCCGAATGACACTACGGGAGTTATACCGTCCAAAAGAATGTTTAACCGCGACATTAGAATAAAGTGGGATTTATTAAAACCTTTGGAGGATAAAGTTGGTGAAGTCTTCATGTCGTTACCACGAAATCGAACTTTTAATAGAGGAGACTATGTTTGGTATAAGAAACAGGGTGATGATACTTGGTGCAAAGGCAGCATCAAGCTTAAAGAGAGTAACACCATGTTTCAAGTTTATACTGATAAAGGGATAGTAAGTAGGCATATTGATCAGTTAAGGAAAAGAGAATGTTACAACAGTTTAAAATATTATGAAATTGACCTTAAAAATTCCTCTAAGGGGGGAAGTGTGGACACAAAGAATGAGATTAAGATACCAATTACTAGACCAATAAGAATTAAAAATAAACCTGATTACTTAAAAGATTACGTGCTTAAAATTTAAATATAAAACGCAAAAAAATATAAAACGCTAAAAATATAAAACGCATAAAACTCTAAAAGTATAAACGCTATGATTAACTTAACACCTAAAAAATAATATAATAATCATTATGATTTATCATTCCTTATTTTGGATTTTATTCCTTATTCCTTAAATTATCATTCCTTATTTTGGATTTTATTCCTTATTCCTTAAATTATCATTCCTTATTACATATTTTATTGTTCCGAAATTCAAAATTTTATTCGTGCATATTATTCATACATTTGATTTGATCAACTATTCCAAATTACATATTCCGATTTATTCCAATATTCGACTGGATTAATTATGAAAAATGATAATAACAATTTTGAGAAATGTGAACAACATACGATAAGGATATCAAACCAACGATAACGTTCAACGATTTTATCAAACCTACGCGATTGATTCAAGCCTACAATAAACGTACAAACTCACGCAACTCTAATAAACGATTTTATCAAACCTACGTGATGGAATCAAGCCTACGAAAACATTTGAGACTTATGCGCTAACCAAGATAAAACCGAGTACAATCGAAACAGGAAAAACTTCTAGGACAACAAGCTCTCGATGACTGCTGAGAAGAAGCTTCGTTATTTGTAGAAGAGGGGGAATGTTGATTGATTTAAATTTGAATATTATTTATTTTATATATTAACTATTTAAGTTGATTATTTGATTTAAATTTGAATATTATTTATTTTATATATTAACTATTTAAGTTGATTATTTAATATGTTCAATTAACTTTTTATATTTATATATATATAATGTTTTTTAGATAAAATATATATAGTAATAAATTTGATTTAAATTTAAATAGTAATAGTTGATCTAAGTCCTTTCATTTATTTCTTTTAGTTTTTTAATACCTCAAAGAAATTTTCTATTAGATTTAGTTGTGGCGAATAGGGTGGCAAATATCTTATTCGCTCTTTAAAACAATCAATGAGATGGTTTTTAAGGATCGATGCATTGTCCATAACAATAATTGCATCACTTGGTATGATATCAATAAGTTCTATCATATATTCTCGAAATAGTAGACTATTATAAGGTCTCTCGATGAATAACACCTTCGATTCCCATAGTAAATTATATATTTAAATTTTTACCCTTAGATGGTGGGATTTTAACAGTTGGCGTAACGTTGTATGGTGCTCAGGCGTAAACAGGTAAAACATGTAAATTTATGCCAGTCTCGTTTAAGAAAAATATTTTTTCTTTGGCTATATTCAATATTTTTATACAATAGATTTGACGTATATTGACTGTGTCAGGTGTGTTCCTTCTATCAGCACGTTTTTTGGATCCTATTTTTTAAATATATTTTCTTATAATTCCTTCATTTTTAGAAAATCTCGGAGGTAAATTTTCTATAATATCCTTAATAGTGAATGTATTGTTAGCCACTAATAGATCCATTATTTTTCTTTCTCTGTTGAAGGTGTCTTTTTTTCTACCTCTCTTTCCAATTACATAATCTTTCAAAGGGTCTCAGATGATTTCGGGAAATGTTTCGAGTCTTAATTTATTAATAGACGATAAAGACATATCTATATACTTAGCGATATCTTTCATTTTCATTCGCTCCCTCTCAGGTACAGATAATAATTTTTTTGCTATATCTATTTTTTCCTTATTCCAGTTTTTATATTTACTTCTTGAAATTGCCGAGATTAAGATTGCTATATCGATAATAGAATCACCACTTAATGAGGGAGAATTATAATATGGAAATTATTTGTAGTATCTTAGGTATTGAATTAGATAAAACAGGATCAAATGAATTTGTATTATTTGTGTGACTAGATAAAATTTATCGTATATTAAACATTTGAAAAAAATA